TTCTGGGGCTGCGGGAAGATGCGAAGAGCCCCGGCCGACGACCCAGCTAAGCCGCTTGCGATACGAACGGTGGTTGCTGGACGCTGAAGGGCCTGGGACGGTGCTGGGGGTGTGTGTCTGCGGCCGTCGCTGGCTCAGACGGCGCAGTCTGCTTCCAAACGACGGCGTGGAGGTCGACGGACAGGCTGGCGGCGCGGTGGTGGTCATGGATGGACTGGAGGTCAGTGGCAGCCGGTCAGCGACAGAGGACTCACGGACTGACGGTCAGCTTTCTGTGTCTAGGGACGATGCCATGCTTACCCGGTTGGACGCTGCCTGGGACAAGGAGAAGGGGAAGAAGAGGCAAATATAAGATGCCCAAGGGGTGCTGCCCGTTGATGCCGATATAAAATATAACTAGAGGATATATTATATTCGTGATATATATATATCAAGCGGATCCGGTGCCGGGCAGTCTACCGTCAGGCCGTCTATAGATATAACTTGCGGCTTGCTTGCTTGCTTGTTATGGTCTATCGTGTTTGTGGGCTGTTGTATAGCCTGACCGTGGTGGACGACGACATGCAACGGGGAGACAAGCGACAAAGATGGAGACGACAAGACGAAGACAGAAAAAAGAAGAAGAAGAAGAAGACAACGACAAGAAGGACGAGAAGAAGCGATATCGACTTCGCCTCCAAGCCGTCCGTCAACAAGACTTTCCTCCTACCTACGCCCAACTACGCCGCCGCTGGTGGCACGACCAAAAAAGCACCTCCCAGCCGCTAGTTAGCTGCATCAGAACGACTAAACTCGAGGCTAACGGCGCAAGGAGGAGGCCCCGTGTGCCCTTGCTTGCTATTAATTATTTCCCTTGGGAGGCTGACGGACTAGTTGGAAGAGACCGCAACAACAGTGTCTGTGACCGCTGCTAGCTCTTCGTACTTGGGTTTCAAGTTTCATGTTTGTCCAGGGGGTGGCTATCCATCGAGCAGCGCAGCACAGCAAGCAAGAACTCAAAAGCCGGGGGTAAGGAATGCTACCTACGTAACAACTCCTGGTCCAGAGAGCAAAAGGGAAGCGGAAGGCCAAAAAAAAAAAAAAAAAAAAAAGGCGCAGACTTCCTCCAAGAGAGCGTGAGATGCCCAATTGCTCTTCACCTCCCAGCCGGTGGGCCTCTTGGGGGGTGATGGAATCAGATATTGCTTTTTCAGCTCTTTGATCTTCGCTGCATTATTACGAGGACGACAGGCTGATGGATGTACGATGGAGATATGGAGGCGATGCAGCCGTGGCCGATGTACGGAGCACCTGGCTATTGGACGGGGGCCAGCGTTGAGTGGTGAAGACGGGAAGCATCTACAAAACTATCAGCTCGAACGGAGCAAGCGACGGAGTATTTGACCATCAAAGCCCGGCACCAACGCTCGCTCGAGAACGCCTGGAGATACAGTTTGGTGGCCGCCGGAGGAACAACTAACTCAAATAATCGCTGTCCTGCAGCGCATCGGGTGTGCATATCGCTTGCACATCGGTGTCCGTTCAGCTGAGATGCTAATTGATGGATGGCCCTTTCGAGCTACCCTGGCCTGGCTGACTCGGGCTGTCAAAAAGACTATCCTCAGTCGTTCGTCCGCCCGTAACCCGGAGCACCCCGAAGCGGCTACTAAGTATACACAATCTATAGTTACGGAGCATGGCAATAGCATCTGTGAGGGTGACGGAAGGACAGGCCGAGACAGACAAAGACCCGGGCCAGCCTTGCTCCAGTTGCACTCTTACGCGGATCTCCCTACGGAACACATATCCAGGGCGATCATATCGACCGGCATTGCTCGTTTCTTTTTCACATATTATTGTGCGTGCTCTGTGGTAGCATGCGGTGAGCAGAGTGGGTGGTTGCAGAGAGAGACAACCATCTCGGGCCAGTTGACTGTTTAAGCATATGAAATAATGCTAGAAACTGGTCGTTGCTGTCGGATAGGGGGCTGTTTCAGCCTTATGGGCTTTGTTGGAAACATCCGTATAATCCTCATGTTGGAAGGAAGAGCAAACAGGAAAAGGGAGATCGAGAGAAGGAAAATAAAATGAATCTGACACCCAGGGCAGAGGGACCGGACCAGGACGCAGGTACGGAGAATTTAATCGGTGGCTTATGAGAGGGAGATCTCGTCCTCGGTGGGATTCAAGGGGCCAAGAAGAAGGTTATTGAAATAAGACGTTCTTCCGGCCAGGATCGAGATACGATATCTACTTTTTTCAAACACCTGCTGCTATATCCATACATATCAGACAACCAACAAGGTCTGCCAACATCAACTCCAACGTGCAACTAACCGACCCGACACAACGTCTCTGCATGTTATTCCTGTATGTCGAATATCGTTATGCATGCAAGCAAGGTAAGTATGACGAACGCGGCCAGGGCATACGCCATCAGAATCATCTGACCTACTCACGCTGACCCTCGGCGTTCTTCATATGCTGCCGACGATGCTGCTTGTTGTGCCTCATCCCGGCCAGCGCCACCCTGCAGACCTTTTGCATCAACCAGGCCTGCGATTGGTCTGCCATGACGAGCTTTGCAAGAGAGCAAAGAGAGAGATGCATCCTGGCCGTCCAGCTGCATGATCGATAATATGCTTAAATCGGCCGTTTCCCATCAGATTTACTGCAGACAAGCATCAGGGTATCTCGAAACTTTCCGGCTTTTGAACTGAGCACTGAATCTGGAGTTATATTAACACTTGGGCCCATCGGCCATGATACTTGCACACTATGGAGTATGAGCTGTCGAAGATATCTGAGCCCGAGCAAGGAGACGACCACAGAGCTCCCTCCAATGAAGAAGAAGGTTAAACTGCCTGCCATATCTCTACAAGGACATTGGCGAGACGAGAGCTCCGGCTTGACTTTAACTGACACCGGCTCGATACTACTGACTTACTTGCAGCGAGCGATGCTGATCTACAGCGCATGCTGAAACTAGAGCAAGCCCGAAAGAGCGTGGAAATGAAAGCGTGGAAGCGTGGGAGCTGTCATCTCTTGGTTACTTGCATCTCGTAGATCGAATTTTCATCCTCCATGACTTTCTCTTCTCTTTCTTCGCCGTCGTTTATTCGTTTTCTTCTCTTCGTCGGTCTTTATAATCGTTTTTATATAGCTTTGTCGTCGAACTTTACCTGTAATTACGATTGTTACCACATCCCGGAGAGTAAACCACGTAACATGCTGGTATTTCAAATACACTTCCCAGCCACAGAAATATGCTAGAGCGGACAACGGGACGGGGGGGGGGGGGGGGGGGGCGCGAAGAAGAGAAGAAAGGTCGAAGATATCGAGCAAGACAGGAAGAAATAGCGATAAAGAAGAAGAAGAAGAAGAGGCCGATAGTATAGAAGAGCCTGTCCAGCGAGGACTGCACCGCCGCAGCAGCAGCAGAGACAAAAAACGCCCGCTTCATCCATCCCCTTCGGCTGTGGCTTTCAGCATCACAAGATCTGTTTTGCTTCTTCCTCGTCGTCTTCGTCTTCGTCTTCGCTATTTATCCCAGTCGCCATCGCCGTCGCCGTCGTCTGCTCTGCCTGGGGATGACCTCGTCTGCTGCGTCGCCGTCGTCCTCGCCATAGCCAATCGAGCTCCCGCTGTCCCTGCGTCTGGCGACTCCGTACGCTCTTCGTCCGACCTGCCGAGCTGCTTCGTCTGTTGAACGCAGGACGAGCAAAGGAAAGGGAAAAAAAAAAAAAAAGAAAGGGAAGAAGAAGAAGAAGACGAAGAGGAAGCCCCTTCGTCCTCCCCGTCTCGCTGTCGCTGACTGCCCAGGAGGCAGCTGGCTAGCTCGTGCTTGTCGCAGAGCTAAGACTCCAGGAGCGAGCAGACTAGCCTTAACCTACCTTAAGCTGTCCGTCAACGACGTCAAACCCTCGAAACCACAAACAACAAACACCAAACAACATCGCCAGCCAACACCCGCCCACCGACGCCCAGCCGCCTCCCCGTCACCACGCACTTCTACGACTGCTGCAGGCTACGACACAGAGCGAGTCGCGGGAAGAATGGGAAATGCGTGTCTTTCCTGCCTCACAGGTACTGTCGACCTCCTCCTGCTCACCCCCCGTTCGGTGCCACCGCCCGTTCGTTTGCTGACCTGGCGGCTCCTGTCGAAACGCTTGAACAGGTCGATCGAGGGACAGCCTCTACGAACCAATCATCGCAGACAGTGAACGTGAAGCTGTAGCAGACCTCTTACAGTATCTAGAGAACGTATGTCTTTCTCTGCTCCCGCTCCTCGGCGAGCTGTTGGGCCCGTGTTGCTGAAACCTGCTGTTTTTTTTTCGCAGCGAAATGAGACAGACTTCTTTACTGGCGAGCCACTTCGGGCTCTCAGCACCCTTGTCTACTCGGATAACGTCGACCTCCAGCGAAGTGCCAGTCTGACCTTTGCAGAGATAACTGAGCGAGGTGAGCTACAGAGCACTGGATGATAATAGAAACAGAAAGAGAGAGAGAGAGAGAGAGAGGGGCCCCGCTTTGGCTAATCACTCGGTGCTTCGATAGATGTCCGTGAAGTCGACCGGGATACGCTGGAACCCATATTATTCCTGCTCGAGAGCCCTGACATCGAGGTCCAGCGGGCTGCCAGTGCTGCTCTGGGTAATCTTGCTGTCAACAGTATGTCTTTTTCTTTTTCTTTGGCCTTTCTTTGTTTCATCTACACGGACCTGGGGAAGCTGACCATATATTACTGCCAGCCGAGAACAAGGTGTCGATAGTCATGTTGGGAGGCCTTGCTCCTCTGATCCGGCAGATGATGTCTACCAACGTTGAGGTGCAGTGCAACGCCGTTGGATGTATCACTAACCTGGCTACCCACGAAGAAAACAAGGCAAAGATAGCTGGCTCTGGAGCTCTCGGGCCGCTCACCAAACTCGCCAGATCCAAGGACATGCGTGTGCAGAGGAATGCGACTGGCGCTCTCCTCAACATGACTCATTCGGGTACGTATCCATGTTCAGCATCCCAGGGTTTGTTTCCCTACTAACGTCTTACCCTGACAGATGAAAACAGGCAGCAGCTTGTTCTCGCTGGCGCAATACCGATCCTGGTCCAGCTGCTTACCTCACCAGATGTCGACGTCCAGTACTACTGCACCACGGCGCTTAGCAACATTGCTGTTGACGCTCTAAACCGGAAGAAGCTTGCGCAGACGGAGTCACGTCTCGTACAGTCTCTAGTTCAACTAATGGACTCGTCTACCCCCAAAGTACAGTGCCAGGCAGCACTAGCCCTCAGAAACCTAGCTTCAGACGACAAGTATCAACTGGAGATTGTCCGCGCTCGGGGTCTCCCGCCACTGCTTCGGTTACTCCAGTCTTCTTATCTTCCCTTAATACTCTCTGCGGTGGCGTGCATCCGCAACATTTCTATACACCCAAACAACGAATCGCCTATCATAGACGCAGGCTTCCTCAAACCACTAGTCGACCTTCTTGGCTCTATCGACAACGAAGAGATTCAGTGCCACGCCATTTCTACTCTGCGTAATCTCGCTGCAAGCTCCGACAGAAATAAGGAGCTAGTCTTGGAAGCCGGTGCCGTCCAAAAGTGCAAGGAGCTTGTGCTACAAGTGCCGCTGACCGTGCAGTCGGAGATGACGGCCGCCATAGCCGTCTTGGCGTTAAGTGACGACCTCAAGGGCCG